CTCTACATCTGCAGCTGCTACAGAGTTCCATAACTTACCTAACAAATTCTTCAGAAGTATCGGTGAAACTTCAACCATTTCCATGGAACTAAATCATTCATTTGTCGTTATTTGTCTACTAGATAGCCGCTAAATGGACGACCCATTAAAAAATAATTAATTAGCCATTAGAGTAGTTATTCTTTGCTCCCATCGATTAGATTGTTTATCTTTACGAGTAGGGAAGAAGTTTTTCTGGCGGTACGATGATATACGGAATCCGGAAATCAAACTTGCGCTGCATAGTTTGACGTTTCGACGAGGGTCCGAATGGTAGCCGAACCAGTCGAACCGTTTGACATGTGATTGTTCCATTTCCCGACGAACATTATGGGTAATTGGCTCGAGGCACGTCGGAAATAGGCCGATGATGTTTGGGCCGCAACTCGCACAACTCGTTTACCGTAACAGAAACGAGTAACGCCCGTAGGGCAGAGATAGATGCATAGACGAAACTGGTCTCTATATGGTGGATAATTTTTGAAACAAAAAAAATTATGGTAGGATGAAACCCATTGAAAACGGAAAATATGGAAGGAGGTGGGTTTTCAAATATATCTAACAATTTATCACGATTTCCAGAGAAACTATTAGTCCTATAGAAAAAATTTAAATGCCCCAGTTGTAGGTAAGAACAACAACCTTTGTATTCACACCTTTTTTGGCATAATTCCGAAATTCATGTCAAAAATTTAGATAACCCAGGTTTTTGTTCTAATTTTTAACTGTTAACTCCTTATATCCCAAACACACTGAAATGTTTTCGACTGAAAATATTCATTTTTCCACACTGCTTTGACTCAATAACATAGCAATTATAGCAATTTTATTTTCAATCAAATATCCTCTCGTCAAAACATATGCTTTTTTGAAGAAGTCGGAGGTCTTTTTGTTCATCGAATAAATAATATATATATATATATATAAATATCCTATATATATATATATATATATATATATATATATATATATTATATATATATATATATATATATATATATATATATATATATATATTATTATATATATATATATATATATATATATATATATATATATATATATATATATATATATATATATATATATATATATATATATATATATAGTTTCAAGATTGACAAATCATTCAATAATAGTAAATACTGAGGCTCTTAATCGAAATATCGAAATATTTCAAATAAAACTCTCAGGGAGCTGTCTACACAAATGTTGTCAATGAGAACGCACCCATCACTTTCGAGAGTGAATATTGAGAGCTGCGTGGGGTAAATACGTTGAAACATGGCAAGAACATGCTACTAAGGGTTTTTTGTTGGCGAATCTATCTCTACTTTTATTTTAGTTATTGGATTATCTTTCTTCTGATATCAATTTTTATTGGGTATCATATTGGTGGAGTTATCTAAATAGACTTAGTGAATGTGGTGAAAAAAAATCAATAGAAAATATTTAAATTAAAAATAGCTATGAACACTTTTTCATGGGCGAGCTGTCATGGCAAGAATAGGCGTGTTTCTAAATGATAATAAGCTTTATTTATGACCCCAAAACAGTTACAAAAAGTACTGGCACCAGGGCCTACAATATTTGACTAGATTTAATTCGCTTATAACTAAACAATAATCTCACTAACACCTAACTAAAAAGTAATTCGTAATTTTGAGTTTAAACATATCAAAGCGAAAAACTGGATTATTCCTGAAAATAGTTTTTGATTATGGCACATTTTATGGATTTTATTGGTGTTTACTACATGTACAGGAATTTGATTGTATGCAGATATACTACCAGATATGGGAGATCTTAAGGCCTTAGTTGTCCTAGCAAAATTTTCTCAGGTGCCGTTTCTTTCTTGTTTCATAACTATGGTAGTTATCATTTGGTACTAATACAGAGCTAGATTTCAATAATTTATTTTTAACTCGTAAATTAATTTGACCTGTTCAAAAAGCTCAATATTTTCAATGTTCAATATTTTAGTTTCTTTATAGACCTGAATTGTAGGAGTGAGGTATTTTAGTTGATATATAGTTTTGACAGACTTGTTTTGCAATTTTTGCAATTTCTGTAATACATAATTTGAGGCTGAACCCCAGCATGGAATCAGATATGAAAGATGAGGTTTAATAAAACTCTGAGAAAGTATTTTTCTGGTTTGATTATTCCATTGACCGCCACATTTACTTATCGCCCCAATCATGGGTGAAATCTTACTCATTATATTTTCTACATGGCTATTCCAGGTTAAATTTTTTGCAATAACAAGTCCTGAATATTTGTACTCTGTCACTCCTTTCAGTTCAACTCCATTTAGACTTAATTTAATATCACAAGTTTTATTCGTATTACATTCTACTGACATATAAACTGTTTTCTCCACATTACTACTTAACTTATTGTAGCACAGCCAGTTAAAGTACTTCTCCAAGTTACAATTCACTATATTTTCACATTCACCTTTCGAACCAGAAAACATCAGTGCAGTATCATCCGTATAATGAAATGTTCACATTGTAGTCTCAAAAATTTTACCAAATAATCAATTTTAAATCAATAATAACACGAAAACACAAGTTACATTCTCAAGTATCGAAGTGATAATTTATACAATCTATATTTCACGAGGAATAAAAGTATATTTCTATTCTAGGAATAGAGAAGAAATATAGCTCAACGTCGTGTTTCAATTAAATCTCTTGAAGATCTTATTACAGTAACTACCATTTCATGTGGAAAGCTTTCACTGAAATTATTCAAATAATTGAGATGATGAGAGTAACTGTCCTGTGAGTATTGTACCTCTAGCTCTGGTCCTTTGATCAATATCTGAAATGCTCTGTCTTCATCCATCATCAACTATTTAAAAGGGTCCTACGTCGAAAATGGAGCATCTCTTTAGGGAGTAAGGAAATTATGGATTGGGTATAGCAGTTAGTTTGAGATAAGAAAATATCGGAACAACGATAAACTGAAATTGGGTTCTTGAAATTGATGAATTTGATGCAACTTTCAACTGAAAAGTATTTGATTGAACAATAATACAAGTGATTCAAGAAGATGTGTGAGACGTTTTTGTATCTATGCAATAGAGAACAAAATTCAAGGTGATTAATGTTTTCAGAATTATATATTTTTGGAGGAAATAAAATTTTAAAGAATGATTCCGGAAGAGTTAAATCTATTTCACTTTGTCATGTACTGTATTTCGTGTTGTTTGTATATGGCTAATTCTCAAAATAATTAGAAAAAAGATATTGTTAATGTCGCGAAATATTTTTATTTTTATTATGGAATTTCTTATGATATTATAAAAGAGTATAACGTAATTGTCTTAAGAATTATACGGGTCCCCAATATTTATGACTTTTAAGGGGGATAAGGGGGTTGTTACTTGAATTTAAAAATGAGTGAATGATTTCAATGATTGCAATGAATTTTTCATTGCAAAACTTAATATTAGGAGACTTACAGACTTTGTAATAACCAAAGTGAAAATGTTAACATTTTTTGAAGAAGTCAAAACACGATAGTGTTCTAAACTCGAGCATATCATTCGTGAAAATAAAAAAAAAATTTCTTTTTCTGTCGTATTCCTTTTTCTTCAATTAAGCTTCTGCTTCTGTGACTTTATTTTTTCGTGCCATCTCTTTCTTATATCGCTCTAAAAAAACGTACCACTGTGAATTTCCCGAATTCATTATAACTTCTTCACACAACCGTCATTCCCTCACCAACAAGTACAAAAGCTGTGAACGTAACCTTACTTTTCTATGGCAATGCATACTAATCAAATACGCTCAAAAACACATACGATAAGTAGTTTATAATGAATAAACAAACTCTTACCGTTTCTCAACACAGTATGAGGGAATGACACCAGAAAATGTAAATCAGAATAATTATTCCTATAAAGTCATTTTTTCAACTACTCTTTCAACTTTCGAGTTCGCCAAATTTTTTTGATAGTAGTGCTACCACATTACTAAAAATATAATGCTGCGTTCAGTTTGATTTGAAATTTGGCTCTTATTTCACTGTTATATAAACTATGAGGAAATGATTCGCCTTTTGAGGACACATCAAAAAATGTAATTTGTTTATCTTTTAATGTTTTTTAGTAACAAATAAGCATTTTTATAAATATAATATAATTATAAATGAATAAAAAATAAACTATTAAATTTTGTTTCAGAAAAGCTAAAATATTTGAAAATGTTTTGGAGTTCGGTAGTTGGGACACAATGAGGAAATGATTTTCGAGGTGTATATTTGAGAATATGTTTTTCATTTATAACAATGGAAACAAAATTAATTTATAATTTAGTGCACTTTATGATGAAGTTTCATGAGAGAATATTCTTAATTTTATTTTTCGATCCCATTTTATAGAAATCAGAAACGACAACAATTTCGATTTTATTTGAGAATCAGCCATATATTCCAAAGTAACTAATAGAATTTATTCTATTACATAAAACATAAATCAACTCATCAAAGGACGAAAAAAAATTTCACCCCTAAAATAGAAATATTACAGAAGAGATGAACATATTTTTTTATATATAACTTTATTCTTCTCAAAGTTATGACGACTAAAATAATGATAGAAATCAAAAGTATGGTTTAATTTTGTGAATTTATCTATAAAGATCAACGAACATTCAAATAACTTCATTAATTTTGTGATTTTAAATATAGGTCATTCAATTATTGAATTGTTGTATCAATTCTCTCATGAAGAAAGTATGTATTAAATAATTGACGGAGGAGATAGATCACCAATTATCGATAAAAATCAATTTTCACAAAATATAAACAAATTATGCAGAACGTCCAATCCGAAATGATAAGCATAAACTTAGAAAGTAGAACACAATTATATGAAAAAGAGAAGAGAAGTTTATAATGTATTTCCACCAGGTTTTGATTCTTTCACATCAAAATAAATAAAGAGGAAAGTCTCATTAGCTTAGTCGGGAAAACACCCGACTATGATGCGGGTAGGATTCGGGTTCGAATCCCGGTGACGGCGAAGGAGCTTGTATTGGTCTATGACTTCAGAGGTTAAATTACAAACGATTGCTTGTTTGGTAATGTATGAGATTACTCGTACAAAGATGAGCTTGTAGCCCATTGGCCGTTCTGAGTCGGCGTCAAACTGAATTCGTAATTCCGTTGAATAAAAAAAAAAAAATAAGGAGGAATATTTTTCCATTATTCTTTCAAAACTAGGTGCTCAAAATGGAATCGTTATCTGAGTTCATTGTGCCGTAATAATACTTTTTAGTACTGAAGGAATCAGGCATGAAAAACCAATTGACCCGCTCTGAGAAATCAGAATTGGAGAGAACAGAGGGTGATGAAGAAATATCAGAAAAAAAAAGAATCTCATTGGCATAGAAATTTTATAACTCTATACAAAACAATTGGATATCTGAATCAATTGAAAATGAAGTGAATTAGTCGAAATGTAGTGGAAAATCAGGGAGAGGTTGTTTTGGTCATGTAATGTGTACTATCATCATTGAGATAATTCTCGGAGTTTTGTCGAGAGGAAAGTTTACTGGTCAAGTTTTGCTGTATTTTCAATCTGTATTTCAGCTGTATTTTGCTGTAAATCTTAAATTTGAAATATCAATTTATATTTGAATACGTCGAAATATTTGTTTCAGGGCTGCCAAAAGTTTTCTTCATCAATTCATCTAGTATTGACTCTTGGGCATAATTTGAAACATACCACGATTTATTCAACACCTGAAGAATAGGTGTTTTTCTGAACGAGCATAATAAATACCTTGTTAGTGTATTATAAAAATTTTTCGTTAGAATACCCTTAACCTCTCAACCCTTAAAAGTTTGAAAATCTAACCTTTCACATCTTTCGTCAAGATGTATGGATTCCACAGTCTATCACACATGGAACAGGTGAAATTTATGTAACACTATTTGGTCAGAAATTGGGGCAGTTTTGTTAATCTTGGCTCAATGAAAATGCTATACTACTCTTTATTAATTTATATATTATAATTTGGTCTCCTGTGTACATTAATTCTATTGTCGACTTGGAGGCAATTCAGAGGAAATGTTTGAAGTATATGTAATGTACTTCACATGTTATGGGCAATATCCTTCTAGAGGCTTCAACCATTCCATCCTAACCGATAGTTTGGTAGCTGACTTATTGAAGTTGAGGCGTTGAAGGCGTTAGGCCGAAACGTTGAACGGTTCGGCCTAACGTTTCTCATTTCTTCTCAGCAAAATAAATATTCGCGTACCAAGAACTGGTCTGAGGCGGAACAATACATTTTATGTCACTTACAGCAGATCAAATGTTATGTCACGTTCTCCTATCAATTGTATACGTAATCTTTATGATGGTTGTTGCGGTCGAAGTCATATCTATTTTGATCGGCTATCAGTTATCTTGGAATGCCACTCAGAACAGCGCAATGCGATGTCGTGATATTTTCCTGAACTTCTGTTGTCTACATATGACTTAGTTATAAATATTATTTCAATTTTAGTTGTGTTTCATCTGTTTACTAGATAGTACTATTGCAATCGATTTTAATGTTATTTTTATTCATCAAACATATTTCGTTACTTTATGGTCAACTTCTGCTGATCATACGTAACTTTGTAATAGACAATATCTTATTTTATTTCTAGTTATCTGGTTATTGTTTAATACTGTTTCTATTCAATGACTGAGATTGAATTCTCGCTCAACACTTGATGAAACATAATTAAATATTAAATTAAATTGAACTCTTGGCATAATGTTCCACGATTCTATTTAACAATATGAATTTGTCAACGTGATTCGAGCGTGAGCCCATTTTCAAGACAAAAAAAATGAAAAAAAAAAATTGAAAATGAAAAAAAATTATATTTTATTGTTTTTTTTGTCTTGAAAATGGGCTCGCGCTCGAAGCATGTTGACAAATTCATGTTGTTGAATATAAGCGTGAAACATTAAGCCAAGAGTTCAATTTAATTCAATAACTATTTCTATTTACTTCGAATTAATTTTTTCGTTGTATATATTCGCTTATACTCTCTTTTTTGTTTTTTTTTTCTCGTTAATTTTTTTTTATTTATTATTTGTGTACAATTTGTTATTTTTTCTCTGTAATTGGATGTATATCTGTTGGGAATAAATGTATTATCATTATTATTATTATTATAACACAAACTTAAATAGCACAAATAACTGTAGAAGCACCGCTTCTTCTTCATTTGCGTTATGAGTGTTTCAATAGAAAACAACAACTACGCAAAATGGCAATCCACTTAGCGATGGAGCAAATGGCGTTAATGCAAACTAACTCAGTTTTGATCATTTCCGGTCGATCGCTAGCTATTTCTTCCGAGACTTATGGGCCTATATATTTTCGGTTATTTCAATATAGGACCGCCCGTCATAACTCACAATAGCGCCCGCAGACCTTATATAGAGAGCACAGAGGTAATAGCTTTTATCGTCTGTGTTCGCACCCCACAAAGGCCCAATTATTTATTTTAATCCCCGATAACTAGTAAATACCCAAACAGCCCGATTCATCACCGAAATTCTTTTTATGGCCCAACTTTAACCACATAAATTTCCAAATACAAGAACTAATCTTGACACATTAGTCGTCGAGCCATATCTGTCGATAGAAATTCTAAATCAAACTTAATCGCCACTCGTGCTTTATGAAGATAAAACTATAAGTTTTATTTTCGCACATTCAATAGTAATAAATCCGGGTGATATTTTGTGATTAATTTCTGCGCGACGTGGTTATGTCTTCGGATGATAACTGTGCATTAGGTCGTTCAGATAGAAATAAAAATAACAATTATCAAATTGGTTAAGTTTTAATATGGTCCACCTACATTAGGCACATCAATCTTGGAAATAATGAAATCTATTGAAGGGCACCCAATTCAGGACGAAACAAACTCGAGAAATACGATAATGTTTTCATTAATCGATTGGACCGATACTTGATGAAAATCTAAATACCTAATTTAAATAAAACTAAGTAGTTTTCTGATTTTCACTATGATTAATTCAAAACGTGACAATATTGTTTCGCCAACACAGTGGCTTCATCAGATGTTGATGATAAACTGAGCTATTATTACATTGTGGACTGCTTGTATTTATCCTGAAGTGTGTGAAAATGACCATAGAACACTGTTCTTCTTTTGTAGGGGAATCACTAAAGAACATATTTATTCTGAATTCTGAGCGATGACCATAAAATACTTTTCTTTCATTGCCTTTTACCGGAATAAATTTAATAAAGGAGAATTATTGATTAGAACTTGATCATTCAATAAATAAATTTGGATTATCTGATAGCCTCACCAACCTGTTTCTTTCTTACCTGGTTGATCGACGTCAATTCGTACAGCTGGGGGGTATACAGTCGTTTGAGTTCATACCTACCTCTAGAATACCTCAAGGGTCTAATCTTGGACCACTGTTATTTATTCTATTCGTGAATGGTCTGATGGATAATTTCATTCTCCACATTCGATGTTCGCAGACGATTTGAAACTATATCATGAAGTTAGATCGCAGGAGAACTGTGTTCAACTTCAGCTCGCGCTGGACCGTGTCGCTAGTTGGTGTGAGGAAAATTATTTGAATTTGAATGTGTCAAAGTGTAATGTTGTTTCTTTCACAAGGAAAAGAGACCGAATTGATTGTGATTATAGTGTCGGTGGTCAGGTTCTCTCTCGTTCAGATAAGGCGAGAGATCTTGGTGTAGTCTTCGACCAGAAGCTTTCCTTTGTCCCACACATCACCCAACTTATTTCAACTGCTGCGAAAATATATGGATTCGTTATACGTAATGTAAAATATACCAATAATTCATCAACATTCATAGGACTATCTAATATCCTAATCCGTAGCAAGTTGGGGTATGGCAGCATGATCTGGCATCCCATTTACACTTGCTATCAACGCCATCTTGAGGCTATTCAGAGAGGGTTCTTGAAATTCTTAGTTTGGAGGGAGGATAAAGTTTATCCACAGAGAGTAGTAAATCATTACGAATTATTGAGTCGATTCAGTTTTATCTCATTGCAGAGCAGGAGAGAAACTTTATCACTCAAATTTTTGTACAAATTACTGCACAATAGTATTGATTGTCCTCCTCTCTTCTCTGCTTTGAAATTTCGTGTTCCTAGGCAAAATTCTCGCATTACAGACTTATTCCACCTAGCGAATCCGAGGACCAACTCCCTAATACAATCCCCCATTTGGTTTATGGAGTCTAAATTCAATAGAGTTGCCAATAATTGTGACATTCAGTTTAACTCCATAGAATTTATTATTATTATTATTATTATTATTATTATTATTATTATTATTATTATTATTATTATAAATTATTTGATTTCTTCCTCTTTCTGCTTTCAAAGTTGTTGTCGAAGGCATGGTTCTCTTCTGAAAGATGTGTTGTATTCGTAGAATCGGTTTCATTTTTTGCAAAGCATCTTTGGTGTTCAGATGTTGGTCAAACTGGCAGTAATTTCAGACTTAGAATATCTGAACACCAAAAATGCTTTCAAAAAATAAAACCGATTCTACAAATGCCACACATCTTTTAAAAGAGAACTACGTCTTCGACAACTACTTTAACATATTGCATACAGAACGTTATGGTTGTAAACTAATCCTGTTAGAACCATTGAAATTAATGAGAGGAAGAAATCAAATAGTTTATCAAATGATCAAGTTTCAATCAATAATGCTCAGCCTTCATTAAATTTATTTCAGTAAAAGACAATCGAAGAAAAGTATTCTATGGTCATCCCACACAATTTAGAAGAAATATATTCTATAGTCATTCCAGTACAAAAAAAGAACAGTGTTCTATGGTCATTTCCACACATTTCAGGACAAATTCAAGCAGTCCACAATGCAATAGCTCAGTGTAGCATCAATCTGATGAAGCCACTGTGTTGGCGAAACAATATTGTTATGTTTTGAACTAATTATAGCGAAAACTACTTAGTATTATTTAAATT